CTGTTTCATAAATGAAACAGACTCGTCCGCTGGAAAGACAAGGATTTCAGTTTCATCCTTTGTCAGGCAATCCTGTTTCTGTTATCCAAATTGTCGAACATTTTTTTTCAATATATGAAATAAAAAAATTCCAAATTGTTTTCTGGATATCTTTTTCTTTTAACTTGACAATGAACATGATGACATCTTCCACGTTGGGACAGGGTCCATTTCATCTAGATGAGATGAAAAATCTTAGGAATTATATATGACAAAAAAGGAAAACAAACTTATTTTAACAGGTTTTTAACAAAGGTTTCTTTTCGCAAAATAATTTGTGCAAACAACATTTCAAGGTCAGTTTTGATTGTCTATTTTTAGAAACGCAAGCACTAGAGATTATTTTTAGATTTTTTATTTTATTAGAACACAATGTGTAATCTTTCTGATAAAGTTTGAACAGTCAGGGGTATGACTTAAACAAGTGATTTCATTATCACCTACAATTGTATTTTAGTGATTTGAAAATTTTAGTAATCACCTATTTAAGTGATTTTGTTGTTTCCTTTGATCTTCAAATGCTAATTTTATTAATTTTCCATATTATGACAAATTATTCCGGAATTTTTCCTACATAGATCAATTATCCCTAAAGTTCTCTTGTATATGAATTTCAGCAGTGCGCTTTATTGGGCAGTAAGTTACATTGTAGTGCATGAAAGCTTTAAAGAGTACCCTTGCTGTCAGGGGTAATACTTACACAAGGGTTTTAATTTACTGGTATAGGTAAATTATTTTTCCCATTTTTGTTATGTTGAGTTATATCCCTTAAACATTCAGATTTTTTTTTTACTTATATAAGTAAAAAAAGTCTAATTTTCTTCTTCTCTTGAATTTCTCGACTGCATTGCTCTAATAGCATGAATAGAGTGTGTAGTTGTCTGTCATTAATAGTTGTCTTTACTATCCATAAAAGTATCATTTCATGGATAATGAAAATCTCATTTGTCTGATCTTCAAAACACTGCTCATTTACAAGCCTCCAGGGAGAAATTTTTGAAGGCCTTGGCAGTTACTTTTACAACATCTTTGTGCAGTGGATTTCTTTGCTTAGTTTTTGAGATAAAAGGTTAAATTCTAATTATAAATTAATGAGCAAACCAGAAAGTTCTGTAACAGTAAATTTGGTCCTGTAGTAAAATTTGTCCGCCAGACTTTTTTTCCTAGTTAAGTAGATCAAGTCCATGACCATTATTTTACTAGGAATGTAAGTTCCAGGACAACTTTTCCTAGGAAAATAAATCCATAGCTAGTAAAATATGTCTGGCACTTATTTTCCTAGGAAAAAATTTCCTAAGACTTGTTTTTCTAGTAATTTTTATTATATTACATGTATTATGACAATTATTGAAAATAATAAAAACAAAACCACATTTTCTTAGTTAAGATTGGAAAGTTTCATTATTTTTTTCCTATTAACATGGGCGTTATAACCTACAATGACCTAGGCATGTGAATGACATGGACATGATGTCCTAGGAAAATTAGTCTGGGGACATAATTATAAATTTTATTAAAATATCAATGCACAACTCTTTAACAATATTAAAACATAAAAATTTAATTTCCATTGTTTACATGTAAATAATTTGTTTCATTAAAATTTACCTTTTAAAATAAAGGAGATGGACGTTTTTACCTAGGAATATTAATGACATGGACATGATTTTCTAGGAAAATTAGTCTGGGGACATAAATTTTATTAAAAAAATTGATACACAACTTTTAAACAATATCAAAACATAACATTTATATTTTCCTTTTAAAATAAAGGGCATGGACGATTTTACCTAGTACATGTTATATTAATGACATTGAATGATTTCCTAGGAAAATTAGTCTGGGGGCATACATTTTATAAAAAATATAAATACACAACTCTTAAAAAATATTAAAACATAACATGTAAATGATTTGATTCATTAATATTTTTCCTATAAAAAAAGGACATGGACGTTTTTACCTTGGATTATTAATGACATGGACTTGAATTCCTAGGAAAATTAGTCCTGGGACATAATTACTAACATCGGACTAAAAATACTAGTAAATTCTGTAACCATGGACTTTTTACACTATAGTTATATGTGTCTGCCCGGATATATTTTACCAGGACAAATATATCTCTTACATTTTGACCTCCCAAAACTTGAGAATTTAATGGGTTGTAAAAAAAATACTTGTATAAGTAAATTTTCGGAGGATTCAGGGGAGATAATTCAAACTTTGAAAATAAAATAAAAATCTTACAAATTTACTTACATCTTCAAGTAAATAAAAATGACTTGTATAAGTACTCTTACAATTAGACATGTTAGACAAAGGTCAACAATCTTAAGTAACCTGATAGGTCTTCTTTATACTTAGAATGATCAACTTCAAGGTTATGCCCTATCTACAAATTATTCCAGTTTATGCATACTTAAAATAAACTGTAAAAACTGACATGACTGACAGGCTCATCAAGCATTGTCAAGTAAAAGATCATTTCTGCATGTATATAGTTGTTTTTTTTTAAATGGAATCCTTGTCTTATCAACTTGGGCAGGATCGACTTATGGCTTGAACGTTATCAAACCAGTATTTGCTCAATTTTGGGTTATTTTCGTTACTACCTTTAAATATACACATATATATATATGTAGTCCATAAAATTATGACGTCTTGCAAGGCTATTTCATCTTTTTTCTGTGACGCCTTTTGCTGTTATAGAAATACGTAATTTAACATTGCAATGTCAGCTACTGTACTCGTATTTATGGTTATGTAATGTACTACTATACGTATAAATGTACATACAAGTACACATCAATACGAAGTAAAATAACAAAAATAATGAATGTAGGAAGGAGTCACTGAAAAAAATTTAAAAAGCCTTGCAAGACGTCATAAGTATTTGGACTAATAATAGTAATATATATGTAACTGGAAATTAGGCCAAAGCTATATAATCCTTGCTCTCAGATAAATATCAGTGATCGGGAAGGACGTGCGCCTTGCGCCATTTGCGCTTATCGACCAGAAATGGCGCATAAAGCGACAAATAAAAGCGCCCGCGTGGCGCATGATATATTTCACTTCGTTTTGAAACGTTGAGATATCGTCAAATGGATTTCCGATCGTATTTCGTGCCGCCATGTGCGAGCATGTAACAGTGGTTTGATTTTGTCAGTGTACTTTATCCGGAGGAAGAAAACCCCCAGTGATTTTTATCCACCAACAAAAAAACACTAGGTTTTTCTATCGGGGTCCAGTGTAAAACATCCACCAGTCATTATAAGGTTCTAAAAAGAGTTTTTTTGAAGGGGAAATATATATAAAATGTGGCTAAGTAGTTTTTAGTGTATTTGAAACTTGCATAGTTGATTTATGTAAAAAGTGGAAAGTTTTCATCCAAGGAATGTTCACACTAGTGTTTTTGTACAGGAATTATTGTACTAGTTATTTTATACCAGGATTAATTACACTAGTGCCGCAGTTTAGATCCATACATTGATGGAGTGATTAATACTCATTTTGAACACATGATAACACAATAATGCTTATTAACGAATAAGATTTAAATAATTTTTCTATGCAAATCTATAAAATCATATGCTTTTAAATTGTCACTAATTGTAATATTCATATTTATTGGATTGCTGAAGTTTTTCTGTGTATTTGCTTTTCGGTCGACTTAGATATAAAATCATATCTTCTATGTCAATATGAAAGGATGCTTCTATAATTGAAACTTTATGTAAGAGCAAATCTGCTCTTTAAATTTGGTTTATATCAAGTTCAATGTCCTGATCATTGATAAAGTATTTTGAGTTATAAAAATATCCTCCTCATCATCATCAATATTATTTACTGGATTGACTCAGATTAATTAAACTGGTTCATTTAAAATCATTCTAATTTTAACCCATTTATTTATGTAAACAATAAACCGGTCTAATATTAACAAAACAACGATATCAAGATCGACGCTTTCACACTATTTACATCCAATTCTCTAGCGAAAAACAGTTACCCGGAATAAATACACGGCGGAATGAAAGTACGCTTACAAGTACACAACTGTGTAGTGTTTACTCCAATGATAGGAGCACCTATATATTTATGGGACGTCTCGGGTGTTTTCCTATGGTAATAATAGCAACATGCGCTATGACTGATTACCCAAAAAACGTAATTAACCATCATTCATGATATAATTTTTTATAAACAACTTTAAATTTGTGAAAATTGGCTAGTACAGGCGAGAATTCTTCTCTAATTATAATCTTTTAAGTAAGCTTGCTATTATTTCGATTGAAAAACCCAAAAGCCTTTTTATGAATAGTATAGTATTTGTCTCCATAAAAGGGGCTTAACTGTCCTTGTCAATTTTTTTGGTCTTTGGCTCGTTTTGACATTTTGTAAACATGCCTTCAGCGAATTGTTGTTATGTCTTATCAGTTATCGTTGCTCTCTACAGTTATTCTTGTCATCGTGATGAAGTAATAATAATACAAGTGAAGAGGAAATGCCAGAAACGTCCTCTAATACGGAAAGTCTGGAATAAGTATGGTATCGACGAAGACCAAAATTTAATGTAAAAAAAAACATGAACATGAACAAGGGAACAGTACCAGTTTTAACATTGTAAATAAAGGTTATCGTAAATATTGCCCGGTTTGGAAGAAGTTATTGTATATTCATTGAAATTGAAATTACAAAATCACAGGAACAATATCCATGATATTCATTAGAATCATACTTGTAAGTACAGTGTAATATACACTTTTTTAATTTTTTTTTATTGTAAACGAATGGCCCACTCATTTGACAACATGGCCCATTAATTCTAAAAATGGCCCATTGAATTTATTTTTGGGGGCCCATAGAGAAAAAATCCTTCCAGATCACTGAATATACAGTGACACGATAAATCATTATCATAAAACACATCCTGTTAACAATAAAAATGTTTTTACATTCGACTGTCTGACAGTTTACTCTTCAATGTACCAGAAATCCATCAATTTCTATTGTTCTGAAGATTTTCTGTTCAAATTTCTGGTTTTCATGCTAATAACGAATGTGAACGGAAGTCAGTGAATAAATTATCTGGATCCAGTTTGTTGTCAATAATATCCATGTGTTTGACGGATTGTGCTTCCGTGTTTATACATTTTTTAAAAAGTAGCGACAAATATTACAGGCAAATCTATTTCATGACGAAAAAGGATTGAAATATATTATAAAAATAAAAAAAAAAAAAATACATCGAGGTAAGGAGATGACAGTTTAACAGCAATATTAAGCTGAAAAAAATATTAACCAATATAAAAATCTATATGCTAGGAAGCAGAGACATATATATACATGTCTCGGTAGGAAGTATTTGTTTTAGTCACTCACGGTCAGTTAAATCATAGATATATTTTATACTAATGTGTCATTTTTTTTAATGTAGAATTTTCAGTACACTTATATGCTATCCTGAGAGACATATAATCCAAATATATATATGTCTCTGATGCTATATATTTTTTTTTAATGGAAAATGCAGTCAGTGTAATTTAAGTGTTTAATTGAAAGTGTGTAGGATTTACATGATTTATGAGTCTAAACTGGAACATATATATATATATATATGGCATTCCAAATACCGTTTCGATTCCTAACATCACTCAGTGAAGAGACATTAATTGTTGAAATCCGGATATGGTGTACTAATTTTTGCACCTTTTGTTTGCGGTATACCATTTTTTCCGCAAGTTTATTGTTTTCTGTTTGGTAATAAATTATTATAAGATCCATTTTGTAACATCCGGTGATCCGTTTATTTGGCAATCGCCAATGGCAGTCAGCAGGGTTTAAGAACATCAGTTGTTCGACCTTCTAGTCAAATGCGTTTTGTTAAAATATATTACTTTTTCACTTTTTTGGTTTTTGGAAAATGTTGTTTGTGCTGTATTTAGACCCCTCTACCAAGAAATTTGTTTTGCATGAACACGTATGAAAATTGCGGTTTTTATCCAACGCAATCATAGGTTTGAACGTTGCCTTCAATTTAGACTTGTATATATATATATATATATATATATATACAAGTCTATATATACAAGTCTAAATTGAAAACAACGTTCAAACCTATGATTGCGTTGGATAAAAACCGCAATTTTTATACGTGTGCATGCAAAACAAATTTCTTGCTAGAGGGGTCTAAATACAGCAATATATATATTTATACTGTTCCCAGGTCTAAGCATCAATAATAGACGAGATTTAAATACATTTTGATAAGATCAAATATATATAAGTCGGATTTTTGCGCAATTTATGTGCGTCGTGACAGTGTCAGGTTAACATATTTCGAACGATTTTTTATCTGTTTTCTGATTGCTTTGAAATGGTGTTTAACGACCTTGACTGCCCATGAGAGTCTCGAACGGTCGGTAGATCGACCGTTAAATACTATTAGTTTCTCCCTATGTATATATAACAATAACATGAGTGCAGATTTCAAAGCACAAATTAAAGCATTATAAAAATTGAACACGGCACGTTTCTTGCCAGTGTAGAGAAAAAAGAATAATAATATAACACATTAAGTGAAAAAATTAAGTGCGTATCCTTTTAATAAGTTTTATTCTGTCTATGCTGTTACCAACAAATGCATTAATGACAGTTAACATTAGGGACCACATCAAAGTCCATCAAACGTTCAATGTAGGATAACAAAACTAGTTTACATAGATTTTTCCAAGAACCAACCCCCTTCTTCATGGTAACTTAATTTGGAAAATATTGATTAACTGGTAGAGACATATGCGCTGAAAGAATGATTTTAACTGCATTTTAGCATGTAATATCACGACTGTTGTTTCCCAACAATGATTGATTGATTGGTTGCTAGTTGCTTAATGTCCAGTGGCAAATATTTTACTCAGGCATATTCAGGACGAGAACAAGTTAACAATAGCATTAGGTAGGTCCTGTAATATGGATCTCTTTCCACGAGGCATCATATTTAAAGTCCCCATTCTGAATGGACGTGATATGTTCCGATTATCAGGTTGATATCGTAAAATATCAGCTGCGAGTCACAATATGAATCTTTTTGTCGAGTCAGCGCAGCGAACGAGATCAAAAAGGATTCATATTGTGTCGAGCAGCTGATATTTTACAATATAAATATGCAGACAACCAGATAATCGATTTATCGGGTTGTATTTGCGTATTTTGCATGATAGAAACGAGTGTTTTCTTTGTTTCACCAGCAAAGCGGAAGATGACGTGATAAGCTCGGGTCAAACTTATCAACGTCGGTTTATATATTAAGACGTCGGTGATATGTCCGGGTCAAAGTTATTAAGGCCTGGTCAACGTATTTGACGTCACAAAGCCGTGATATGCAATTTTATAAAGAGCTGAGCAGAGTGATACAGACAGAGGGACGACCGATAACATTCCGCACAATCAAATTAATGGACACCCTACTTTGGCAATGGGTTTACTGACGAGCGGAAAGATACCAAGAGTGATCATATTTCTATTCCCTATATATAGTCACCCTTGGGTTCCTCAACTATAAGTTATATGGTTTGCTACTGACCCCCTACGGATCCATAGAGGGTTAGTAAAATCCATAGGGGGTGAGGCCGTAGGCCGAGTCCCCTATGGATTTTACTAACCCTCTATGGATCCGTAGGGGTCACTAGCGAACCGTATAACAAATTTATCGCACAGAGAGCGTTTTCTGCCAAGTTTAGTATAAAATATCAAAATTTAACAATGAAAAATAATAACAATAACAATAGGAATTTATTAACACAACTACTAACAAGTATTTAGAGCATTTTCTTTTTTGAAAATACAATTCGGAATGAATGTCATTTGTTCAATGTTAGATTTTGAATGATTGTCACTTTACATTTGTTAAATAATTGTGGACCGCAGCTTGTCTTGTGTTGCTAACAGTAATGGATGATTCATTATAATCAAAGTCCCCTAATATAGCGTTCAAATCGAATCCTTCGAAATCGGAATGCAAACTCTGCGGAGTGTTTGCTTCAATAAGAACAGGTGCCATAGATCCATTTTCAGTAAGTGCTGGTCTTACAGGAGGTGCTGGTAGTGCTGGTCTAATAGGAGGTGCTGGTAAAGCCTCTATCTGGGCTGGCACAGCTCCCATAGTTACTCCTAGAGTTTGTCCCATTTGTAACTTTTCTTGCGTGTCTACCCGTTGATAAACGGATAGAGATTGTACGGATTTGTGACCGGTAACAGACATTGTCTGAGCATCATTAAACTTATTTTTTTGACAAAATTGAAGCTCCCGTTGCTCTTATGGAATGATTTGTATATTTCTGGCTAAGTTTACATGACAAACTCATGTCACTCATAAATGTTTTCAGCTTTTTCTCCCCAACAGGTGCGTTGTAATACCATATTTCGTTGTCATCATCAACAAAGCAGTCCCTTGGACGCTGCCACAATCTGAAATTTTTTTAAATGAAGAATAAAATGAAGAATTAACTTTAAAAAAATCTGGCTTTTCTCGACATTTAGAACAATTATGACACATACCTTCTTTAATATACTTTTGGTGAATTTTTTCAGCTGTGTTTTTTTTTTTTTTATTTACCCATGTTTTTTCATGTTTTTTGGGGTTTTGTTCTTATGATTGTGTTTAAAATTGTTTGACGATTGTAGCTTTTATTTATTGTTAAATTTACTTACCTATCACAATCAGGGTGCAGCTTGTCTGTATACTTTATAAAGGATTCCACTGGACAATACATTGAGCCTGGAATACAAAATTCTATATGATATAGTAAAAATTTGAGCTGCAGTCATTGATGATTGAAAAGTAAAAATACAAACCATTCCATGCTTTTGCACTTCACGACACGTAAAATAAGATATTAGATAGTCTGTGGATAATCAGGTTACATTTTCATTTTCTGTTTGTTTCGGGGGTGGGACTCTTTAACTTTAAATTACCCAATATTTTGGGGTTGTTCTTTATTATTTTTTTTGGGAGGAGGGGGGGGGGGGTGTAATTAATGATATATTACTAACCAAGCCTGATGATTATCAAATATATAAACTAATGTACCTGTAGCTTCTGGCATGACTCCACTTGTTGTCTCCTTATCATTTCCTCTATGGTTTTTGGTTAATTCATCTAAAATCTTTTCGATGTATCTCATTCCTGTATTTGGGTCTGTTTTCAAAGCAAAAGTTGACTTGGTCATTGTATGCATATTTTCTGCACCTCGTCGGCAAAAATACAGTCTTATATCATACTGGACTTTGTTAAATACATTTTTTTTCTGTTTGTTTCGGGGGTGGGACTCTTTAACTTTAAATTACCCAATATTTTGGGGTTGTTCTTTATTATTTTTTTTGGGAGGAGGGGGGGGGGGGGGGGGTGTAATTAATGATATATTACTAACCAAGCCTGATGATTATCAAATATATAAACTAATGTACCTGTATCTTCTGGCATGACTCCACTTGTTGTCTCCTTATCATTTCCTCTATGGTTTTTGGTTAATTCATCTAAAATCTTTTCGATGTATCTCATTCCTGTATTTGGGTCTGTTTTCAAAGCAAAAGTTGACTTGGTCATTGTATGCATATTTTCTGCACCTCGTCGGCAAAAATACAGTCTTATATCATACTGGACTTTGTTAAATAGTCCTGAGGGGGTTTGTGTAGAAAAGTAGACTGACTTGTACAGCTTCTCCCTGTCAGATTCCTGGATAATTGGATAGTGTTCAACGTTTCCTTTTCCTGCTTGTTTCAGTTCGGCCCTTGCAGCGTCAAAGCTCATGTTTGCATATCGAAATGCTGCATCTTTAATAATGTCAAAGTCCTTATTGTTTGGAGGTGCTTTAAGGTGGCGATTCAAGCCATGTCGAATCGATTCCAGGGAAGAGGTTTTATACATGGAACCATCTGTTTTTCTAGCATCAATGACATTGTCATGATCAAGGTAGAAATGAGATAACGCTTCATCCAAACGTTGTGTTGTAAAGCTTTCAAAGTCAGCTTCATGATTTTTACTAAAAAGATATTCCCTGAA